AGAGGCTTGCCGGTGGGAAGAAGCAGTGCTGGGAGAGGTGGTGAGTCTGACAGAAAGTCTTGCAGTGCAGGGGTGGGGGTTCCAGGCTGGTGTCCCCAGGGAGAGCCAGGGGCCACAGACAGTGCAGCTTTGCTCTCATCAGTGTTAGGTTTGATGGAGCAATTGAGTTGATACCCATCCCCGGGAACTGGCTTTTCAGTTATTTCACTGTGGACATCCCCATTGCCGAAGACCACTTTTCACCTGCGGTGACCACATTCCATTCTCTCCCTGCTGGGTCTGCATAAAGAAGTCTCCATCCAGAAAAATCCCGCCAAAAGTCCTTTAAAAACTGCTGACTCCCCTCACTGGGTGCTGGAGCCATCCAGGCTCAGCCACCTGGTGTGCGGATGGTCATTCGTAATCCCTCACCACTCTGACCTCGTGCGTTCCTCCTTCGGCGACCTAACCATCAGGGCCCCCACAGTCAGCAGAGGAAGTGGGGATCGTGACCTCGCCATGCTGTGCTTGCCAGGGGCAGCTGACAACCACTGGGCCTGGCCACAGGAAGGACTCCAGGTCTGACTTCAGAGAGACCTCACCTGTGGCCACTGGGGGCTTGCACAGCTTAGGCTGGGATGTCCCATCTTTTGTAAGAGAAAGCCCCAATTCATTTTCCTGGTATCAAATACTGGGGGTGTTGAGGCAAGGGAGTGTGCTGGGGCATCCCAGAATGAGGGTTTTGGGGGCATAGGTGGGGGTGAGGAGGTTAAAGGGTGAAATGATTTGCATCTGTGTGTGTGTGTGTGTGTGGTGTGTGTGTGTGTGCGCGCACGCGTGCGCGCGAGGGAGAGGGAGAGGGAGATATATCTGGTGGCAGATGAAGAGATAGGGACAATCTAAGGACACATGTGATGGGGCTCTGCTGTCACTCATACCTCTCCCTTCCTTAGAGCTTCAGCAAACTACATTCATCCATTCATTAAGAAAACAATGTCCTTGGCCGGTGGTGTTCAGAGGTTAGAGTGTCAGCCCACGCATCAAAGGGTTGGGGGTTTGATTCCCTGTCAAGGGCACGTACCTGGGTTGTGAATTCAATCCCTGGCCCCAGTCGGGGTGCGTGTGGGAAGCAATCAATCTATGTGTCTCTCTTACATTGATGTTTCTCCCCCCCACCCACTTCCACTTTCTCTAAAAATCAATGGGAAAAATATTCTCAGGTGAGGATTAACCAAGAAACAAGGAAGGGAGGGAGGGGAGGGAGGGAAGAAGGAAGGAGGGAAGAAGGAAGGAAGGAAGGAAGGAGGAAGGAAGGAAGGAAGGAAGGAAGGAAGGAAGGAAGGAGAAAGGAAGGAAGGAAGGAAGGAAGGAAGGAAGGAAGGAAGGAAGGAAGGAAGACAACAATGTGTTGAATACCTGCTCAACACCGTCAAGTGCTAGAGACCCTGGGGATGAACGGGCCTGGCTCTCGGGGAGCTCAGAGGGAGAGGTGGCGGGAAAGCTGGCAGAGGAACTTGAAGAGCTAAGAGGATGATGGGAGAGAGGGTGATGGGTCCTGCACACCAGACAGCGGGAGGCTCTGAGGACGGAGCGATGGGAAGTCACCTGCTCCAAGTGCTGGGAGGAGGCTCAGGTACAGCTGCAGGTAGGACAGGCCAGCAGATTCCTTGGCTCAGGGCCCTCTCCTCTCAGCTGCCACCACCGCCCCCAAAGCCCGCCCCTGAGCACTCTGCCCCGGACTTCTTAGCCCTCCTCCCCGGGCTGGCTCTTCCCTCTCCCCATGGCTCTTGCAGGTTCTTATCTTCCCTCTACTCCAGCACCAATCACCCGCACTGATGTGCTTTTTGACGCACGAACATACCTTTCACCCTGTCACCAGGGTGCTCTGTCTAAACCCAGATCTGACTCTGTCCCGCCAGCTCAGAAACATTCAAGGGCTCCCCACTGCCTAGAGGATAAGGCACACAGTCCTCAGCATTATGTGGCCCATAAGCCCTGGCCATCCCTCTGGGCCTGTCTCCTGGCCCCACACATTCTCCCTTACACTCTACAGGGGCGGCTGGAACCACTCTTCTCTTTAAGAGGAGCAGCTAACTTCCCGACTTCAGAGGCTGGACCTGCTGACTCCCTTCTAACAAACAGACTGACAAGAGAGGGAGCATGACTTCTGAGGCAGCCCCAGCAGGCACTACAGTCCCCACTCTCTCTGGATCATCTGCTCTGGGGAAAACCAGCTGCCATGTCACGAGGACACTCAGGAGTCCCACAGAAGAAACTGAGGCCTCCTCCCAACGGTCAGCAAGGGCCTGAGCTGCTGCCCCGCCCTGTGGGAGCCCCGTGGCGGGGCTCCTGCAGCTCCCACTGGGCTGGGCCAGGCAGCCTGGCAGCACCTTCGCTGCAGCCTCCCAAGGGCCCCGAGCCAGAGGGGCCAGCGAGGTTCCCTGCGTTCCTGACCCACAGAAACAGGAGACGATAGCCACCCACTGCGTTAAGCTGCTACACCCTGGGACGGTTCGTTACAGGGCAATCAATAATGGATGCACCCAAAGCGCTGCCTGCCCTCGCCAACGCATCTGGGCCTTTGTGTCTGCTATTGTCTTTGCCTGCGATGCGTCTCGCACTCTGACCTTTCCACCAAGCTCCTCACCGTCCTGCAGGGGCGAACGGAGACCTCCTCTCCTGAGTGAGTCACTCCTAACACCATCGGCCCCTCCTCCCGGCAGCCCCAGAGCTGGCCCCTGGGACTCAGCAGCCTGCACGCCCCTCTGACAGGCCCTGCCTACTCCACACTCTCCCTGGTGGCTCAGAGTCCTGCCAAGGCCACCTGCCCCTGTGGGCAGGAGAGGGCGCGGCACCGATCAGTGAAGCCTCTGTCAACTGGCTGGAGAGCCGCCGCTTAAGGTTTCATTCCAGTGGGATGAGTGTAGAAAGGAAGCATTATGCAACGAACATCAAAACCCAGAAACCTCCATTCTTTCTTCCAAATGATGGCCAAGCATGAGGACCCCTGAGGGGCCCACCAACAGCCAGGCGGAGCGGACCTACCTGGATCAAGGCCAGCACCTTGTCCTGCACGATGGTGGGCGGGTTGTTCTTGGGAGAGATGATTCTGACCAGAACGCCGTCGATGAAATCTCGGCTGGCCACGAGGACGTGGAAGCGGTGGCCGCAGTTCTTCACACAGGTCTCCAGCACCTGACGTGGAGGGAGGAGCGGTGAGTACAGGGCCTGCGGAGCCCCCGGGAAGAGGAGGGCGGCTCCACTTCCACCCCCATCCTTCTTCCCGGACATCCTTTAGAACCACGCCTCACCGGCAGCCATCCTCACCCTGGAATCCAGCCGTACTCAGCGGTGAGGCTGCCCCCTGCTGACTGCCCTGCACAAAAACCAGGTCATTAGTTTAGGCATCACTTTCACAGGAGAAGGGAAGCAAGAATGAAATGACTGAGCGGTCTCTGAGAACCAGCACTTCGCCTCCCTCTGGGCCTCTGGGTGTGCGGCGTTAGCCACGGGACACACGCTCTGTCACAGGGAAGCTGCTGCACAGTAAGAATTGCCCAGGGAGTTGTTGGCCCTGGTTATGTGAGGAAGCAAACACACACACACACACACACACCACACAACCCTGCTTCTGCAACTAAAACTGAAAATGACTTCCCACCTTTAGTAACTGATTTGTGGGCCTCAGCTGCCATTAGGGCAGTGGTTCTCAACCTTCTGGCCCTTTAAATACAGTTCCTCATGTTGTGACCCAACCATAAAATTATTTTCGTTGCTACTTCATAACTGTCATGTTGCTACTGTTATGAATCGTCATGTAAATATCTGATATGCAGGATGGTCTTAGGCGACCCCTGTGAAAGGTCGTTCGACCGCCAAAGGGGTCGCGACCCACAGGTTGAGAACCGCTGCATTAGGCTTTACCCGTCAAACCCTGCCCACTCCTCCCCTAACTGGGACCATCAGTTACACAGGCCCACGCCTATCAGAAAAGCACAGGTGCATGTGGGTTCTGGCTAGATGACCAGTGTGGACTTGAATCTCAGCTCCACCACTTTCTCTCTGAATGGCTCCGGACAAGTCTGTCTGAGCCTCTGCTTCCCCATCTGTCAAGTGGGCACATGAGCACTCCCTTCCAGAACTGTAGTAAGGCTGCCAGGGAAGCACCTAGCACAGTGCCCTGCACAGGGGAGGAGCCAGTAAGTGAGAACTTTGACGCTTGGATGCCATTCCAAAGGCTGCACTACATGCTCAAGTGACGGGACAGTTCAGTCCCCGCAGGACCAGGGAGAGGCCCTGGAGCCCAGAAGTGTCAACGGCAGGCCCCCTCCCGCCTGGAGCACAGCTTTCTGAATTCCTTAGCTCTCTGGAAACCAACCCTGACCCTTCCCACGTCAGCGTCCCTCAAAGCCACGGGCGACTAGTGGGGAATGCCTCCTTGCAAGGACGTCACCAGCAACAGGGGGCATTTCTCACCGCCTCATTTGCCCAAACTAACCTGACCACTGGGTATCTCATGCGGTCATTCCAGAGCCCGGTTCACACACCTCGGCAAAGCATGGCCATGAAGAAAGGTCCACAGGCTAACGTGACCTGAATGCAGGCAGCGCCAGGTACCGCGAAGGAGTCTTTCACATTATACAGAATTTCACTCTATTCTTACAGCGAATTCTCTTCATGTGGATGTTGTTATCCCGCTTTCTTACCCCCAGGAGGCTGAGAAAGGTGAAGAGACTGGTCTAGGGCGTCGCTGGTCAGTGCCAGACCCAGGGTGGGAACTCCAACCGGCCTTCTCTGAAGCCCCCATCGCCGCACCCCGGAGGCCACAGGCAGTGTGTGCCAGCTTCTGCTCCCTCAGGCGGTCCCTGAAATAGCCCTGTCAGGAGGCCACCGCTGCAGAGATGAGAGCTGTGGCGTGGCGATGCTGGTCATTCCCAGAGGAGGCCGGAGCTGGCAGGTGCACTGAGCCCCACGGGAGGCGCCGGGCCCTGCTCGGGCAGCGGAGGGAGACCCCGAAGCTCAGCGTCCCTGGCTGTTGCGGTTTTCTTCAGCCAAGAGGGCGCTCTCTTTCTTAGCCTCTGCTCATGCTGGACTCGGGGACTACGAGGTGCCAGCATGCTCTCTCACAGGGACCTGTGCAGGCTGCCAGATGAACCCCAGGGGTCTCCTGCCTTCAAGGAACTTACAGTCACCCTTCCTTCTAGGAGCTTCAAAAAGCCTCCTCCTAATTTTACTACACAGGCAGTGGGCTGCTGGCTGAGGTAGGTGGCAGGAAGGATGGTGTATGTGATGAGGAGCAGGCCGGGGAAGAGCAGTGAGGTGGAAAGGTCATGGGAAGAGAGGAGCAGGGAGGCTGAGGGGGCAGGGCAGCAGCCAGGACACACTTAGTTTCCCTGGAGCAGACTTTAGAGTCAGATACTCCGGGGCTCAGATACATAGGCTTGGCAATGCCCTGGGCAGAGGTGGCATGTGCGACAGAGCAGCCCAAAGCCTAGCAGAACAGGAGGTGAGGGGGGTCTTCCCTGGCTGGCAAGGACCACACCACTCAACCCAAGGAGGCCCCGCAACCCACTTCAAGGCCCTCTGCCAAAAGGCCCCCGGAAAACTGTCTCTGTGGGTTGTAGGGCATGAAGTACCCAGCAGCAGTTTTCTAGAATGCAGCCAAAGCCCAAGAGTAAGCAGAAGGTGCTTCTAAGCCAGCGGTTCTCAACCCCTTTGGTGGTCGAACAACCCTTTCACAGGGGTCGCCTAAGACCATCCTGCATATCAGATATTTACATGACAATTCATAACAGTAGCAACATTACAGTAATGACGTAGCAACGAAAATATTATGGTTGGGTCACACATGAGGAACTGTATTTAAAGGGCCAGAAGGTTGAGAACTACTGCTCTAAGCAATCAGAAACAGATGTTTCCAGTTCATACACTGAGGCCCAAGCAGAGAGCCCCTCAGGACCTCTGCTATCTCCTACTTGGGGTAACTATGAACAGCTTTGAGTGTACAGCTGGGAAGTGAGGAAGGCCCATGGGAGCAGAAGTGAGATGATTGAAGGTAAGATAAGACAAAGAGCGAAGCCACGGAAACGAACATGGGGCCTGCTCGTGCACCAGACCAGGGCCTTGTGCAGGGGCAGGGGCTTGCACATTTAATCAGCCCCCCAAGGCATCGCTGGATTGGCAGCAAAGACCTGATCACTAAAATTAAAATATTAAACATTTAAAAATACTTAGAAATAAATGTAACTAAGGAAGTAAAAGATCTGTACCCTGAAAATTATAAAACATTGATGGAGAGAAACTGAAGACACACATAAATGGAAAGATGTCCTATGTTCATGGACTGGAAAAATTAATATTGTTAAAATGTTCATACTACCCAAAGGCATCTACATATTTCACAGAAACAGAAAAAGCAATCCTAAAATTCATACAGAACTATAAAAGGCTTTCAATAGGCAAAACAATGCTGAGAAAGAAGAAAGCTGACAGTATCACACTGCCAGATTTAAAACTATATTGCAAAGTTATAGTCATCAAAGCAGTCTGGCCCTGGCATAAAAATAAATACAAACCAATGGAACGGAATCAAGAGCCGAGAAGTAGACTCATACATACATAGTCAACTAATATTTGACAAGGGAGCCAAGGGGACTCAATGGGAGGAAGGACAGTCTGCTATAAACTGTGCTGGGAAAACTGGATATCCACATGCAGAAAAATGAAACCAACTTCTAAATCACACCACTCACAAAACCTAACTCAAAATGGACTAAACACTTACACGTAATACCCCAAACCATAAAACTACTAAAAGAAAAATAGGGGGGAGCTCCTTGACATTGATCTTGAAAAAGATTCTTTAGATATGACAACAAAAGCAAAGGCAACAAAACCAAAAATAAGCAAGTGGTAGGCACTACATCAAACTAAAACATTTCTTCATAACAGAAGAAACAACCAGGAAAACAAAAAGGCAACCCACAGAATGGGAGAACATATTTACAAACTATCAGATAAGGGGTTAATATAAAAAATATATAAGGGCCTGGACAGCTTGGCTCAGTGGTTGAGCGTCGACCTATGAACCAGGAGGTCATAGTTTGATTCCCGGTCAGGGCATGCCTGGGTTGCAGGCTTGATCCCCAGTGTGGGGCATGCAGGAGGCAGCCAATCAATGATTCTCTCCCATCACTGATGTTTCTATCTCTCTTCCTCTCCCTTCCTCTCTGAAATCAATAAAAATATATATTTTTTAAAGTATGTGTGTGTGTGTGTGTGTGTGTGTGTATGGAACTTATATAAAATAACCCATAGCAAAAAAAACCTAACCATTGACAGTGAGGAAATTGAAACAACCATCAAAAACATCCCCCCGCAAAAAGTCCAGGACCAGATGGCTACACCAGTGAATTCTACCAAATGTTCAAAGAAGGTTTACTAATAAAACTTATCCTTCTCAAACTCATCAAAAAATTGAATAAGAGGTAATACTTCCTAACACATTCTATGAGGCCAATATAACCCTAATACCAAAACCTGGCAAAGATGACAAAAAAAGAAAACTACAGACCAATGTCTCGGATGAACACAGATGCAAAAATCCTAAATAAAATACTAGCAAATCTAATACAACAGTACATCCAAAAAGTAATACATCATGATCAAGTGGGGTTCATTTAGGGACACAAGGATGGTTCAACATATACAAATCAATTAACGTAATATACCACATTAACCAAAGACAGGATAAAATCGTAAGGTCTTATCAATAGATGCAGGAAAAGCATTTGATAAGATACAATAGTCATGTATGATAAAAAATAGTAATTGTAATAGTAATCATTTACTCAATAAAATAGTAATAGAAGGAAAGTACCTCAACTTAATAAAGGCCTGGGCCCTGGCCATGGCTCATGTAGGAGGCAACCAGTCAATGTGTTTCTTTCACATTGGTATTTCTGTCTTTCCCGTTCTCTTCCACTCTCTCTACAAATCAATGGGAACATATCCTCAGGTGAGGATTAAAAAAACAGTTTAAGATGTGGTCCATGCACACAGTGGAGTACACTCAGCCACAGGAAAGGATGGATCAGCACTGTTCACAACCACCTGGACGGGCCTTGAGAACATGATGCCGAGTGAAACCAGTCGGTCAGAACAAGCTGAGACCCATACGATCTCACTCATGTGTGGGATGTAAAAACGAAACTCGTGAACACAAACAGCAGTGTGGTGGGTGCCAGAGGGAGGGGGTGGGGGAGAAGGAGATCCTAATACAAGGTGACAGGAGAAGACCTGACTGTGGGTGGTGGGCACCCAGTGCCATATACAGATCTTATAACATAGAGACCCACAGCTGACACCTATGTTCATGTTGACCAATGTCACCCCAATCAATTTAATATTAAAAATAAAATATAAAAGATATATGCACCCCCATGTTCACTGCAGTATTATTCACAATAGCCAAGACATGGAAACAACCCAAGTGTTCACTGGTGAATGAATGCATAAAGAAAATGTTGGAGGCCTAACAGGTTTGGCTCAGTGGAAAGAGTATTGGTTTGCGAACCAAAGGGTCCTGGGTTCAATTCCTGTCAAGGGCATGAACCTCAGTTGCAGGCTCCTCCCTGGCCCCGGGCCCTGGTCAGGGCCCATGAAAGAGACAACCAATCAATGTGTTTCTCTCACATTGATATTTCTCTCTGTCTTTCCCTCTCTCTTCCACTCTCTCTAAAAATCAATGGGAAAAATAAAACATCCTTGGGTGAGGATTAAAAAAAAATAAATAAAAAGAAAAAGAAATTGTTGATGTACTATCCTATATAATAGAGAGCTAATATGCAAATGGTTGTCACACCCTCATGCCGCCACACCTTAATGGCTCAGACACTTAACACTGGGGAGAGAGGTATGGGGACCAGTCAGGCACAAATAAGATTGAGAGAGAGGAATGGGGGCCAGCCAGGCACAAATGAGCTCATGAGAGAGGAATGGGGACCAGCCAGGCTGTGGCCTGGGAGTGGGACAAGCTGCCCGCCCCTCGGTCCTGGGGGCCAGTGGCTGTGTCTGTGCTTGCGGCCCAGGAGAGGGATAAGCCGCATGCCCCACGGTCCTGGGGGCCAGCGGCTGCGCCTACGTCTGTAGTCCAGCCCGGGAGAGGGACAAGCCACATGCCCCACAGTCCCGGACACCAGCGGCTGGAGCTGCAACATGGGAGAGGAACAAGCCATTCGCCCTGCAGTCCCGGGTGCCAGCACCTATGGCTGCGGCCCAGGAGAGGGACAAGCCGCCTGCCCCATAGTCCCAGGCACCTGTGGCTGCAACCCGGGTGAAGCCAACCGCCCACGCGTCCCTGCGGGTGCAGCTGGCCCAGGTGAAGTCGGTCCGGGTCCTGGGTGTCTGCGGCTGGCCAGAGGGAGGGAAGTCCAGGTCCCAGGTACCTGCAACCGGCCAGAGGAGGGAATCCTGGGTGCTGGGTGTGGGGTGAGGCAGAGGGGGTTGGGGGGGATCAGGCCAGCAGGGGAGCAATTAGGGGCAATCAGGCCAGTAGGGGAGCAGTTAGGGGCAATCAGACAGGCAAGCAGGCAGGCAAGCGATTAGGAGCCAGCGGTCCGGATTGCTAGAGGCAGTCGGACATCGCCCAAGGGGTTTCAGATTGGAGAGGGTGCAGGTCGGGCTAAGGGACCCCTCCCCTCCGTGCATGAATTTTGTACACCAGGCCTCTAGTAGTAGATAAAGCAGAGGAAAGAATCAGTGATTTGGAACATAAGGTAGCAGAAAACATCCAATCAGAAGAACAAAAAGAAAAAAGAATTTTAAAAAGTGAGGATAGCTTAAGGGGCCTCTTGGACAACATCAAAAGTACCAACATTCACAGCATGGGGGTGCCAGAGGAGAAGAGAGAGAGCAAGAAAATGAAAACATGTTTAAAAAAATAATGACAAAAAATTTCCCTAACTTGGTGAAGGAAAAAGATATACAGTTTAGGAAGCTCAGTAAGTCCCAAACAAGATGAACCCAAGGAGACCCACACCAAGACACATCATAATTAAAATTCCAAAGGTTAAAGACAAAGAGAGAATCTTAAAAGAAGAGAAAAGCAGTTAGTAATTCACAAGGGAGTGCCCATAAAACTGTCAACTTATTTCTCAACAGAAACTCTGCCAGAAGGAATTGGCAGGAAATATTCAAAAGCATGAAAAGCAAGGACTTACAACCAAAATTACTCTACCCAGCAAAGCTATCATTTAGAATTGAAGGTCAGATAAAGAGCTTTACAGACAAGAAAATGCTAAAGGAGTTCATCACCACCAAACCAGCACTACAAGAAATGTTAACGGGTCTTCTTTAAGAAAGAAAGTAAAAGAAAAGATAAAAAATATGAATCATAAAATGGCAATAAATACATATCTATCAATAATTACTTTGAAAGCTCCAATAAAAAAACATAAGGTGACTGAATGGGTAACAAAACAAGACCCTTACATATGCTGTCTACGAGAGACTCACTTCACATTCAAAGATACACACACAAACGGAAAGTAAAGGGCTGGAAAGAGATATTTCATGAAAACAGAAACAGCGGGCACATACCCTGAGGGCTCCTGGACTGTGAGAGGGGCAGGCCGGGCTGAGGGGCCCCTCTAGTGCACAGATTTTCATGCACTGGGCCTCTAGTGTTGAATAAGAGTGGTGAAAGCAGACAACTCTGTCTTGTTCCTGATCTTATGGGGAATGTATTTTTTGCCCATTTAGTATGATGTTGGCTATAGGTTTGTCATATATGGTCTTTGTTATGTTGGGAAATGCTTCCTCTATTCTCATTTTGCTGAGAGTTTTTAATCATAAATAGTTGCTGGATTTTATCAAATGCCATTTCTGATTCTATTGATATGATTATGTGATTTATTTATTTATTTATTTATTAAAAAATATATTTTATTGATTTTTTACAGAGAGGAAGGGAGAAGGATGAGTTAGAAACATCAATCAGCTGCCTCCCACACACCCACTACTGGGGGTGTGCCCACAACCAAGGTACATGCCCTGGACTGGAATCGAACCTGGGACCCTTCAGTCCGCAGGCTGATGCTCTATCCACTGAGCCAAACCGGTTAGGGCTGATTATGTGATTTTTATCCCCCTTTTTGTTTATGTGGTGTATTACGTTTATTGATTTGCAAATATTGTACCAGCCTTGCATGCCTGGAATAAATCCCACTTAGTCATAGTGTATGATCTTTTTAATGTATTATTGGATCCGATTTGCTAATTTTTTGTTGAGGATTTTAGCTTCTGTGTTCATCAGGGATATTGGCTTGTAATTTTCTATCTTTGTAGTGTCTTTATTTGGCTTTGGAATTAGGATAATCCTGGCCCCATAAAATTAGCTTGGGATCTTCCCCCTCTTGAATTTTTGGAATAATTTGAGAAGGAGAGGTGTTAGTTCTTCTTTGAATCTTTGGTAAAATTCACCTGTAAAGCCATCAGGGCTTTTGTTTGTTTGGAAGTTTTTTGATTACTGCTTTAATTTCTCTAGTTGTAATCTGTCTATTAAAATTCTGATTCTTGCTGAAACCGGTTTGGCTCAGTGGATAGAGCGTCGGCCTGCGGACTGAAAGGTCCCAGGTTCGATTCCGGTCAAGGGCATGTACCTGGGTTGTGGGCGCATCTCCAGTAGGGAGTGTGCAGGAGGCAGCTGGTCGGTGTTTCTCTCTCACCATGTTTCTCTCTCTATCCCTCTCCCTTCCTCTCTGTAAAAAATCAATAAAATATATTAAAAAAATTCTGATTCTTCTTGATTTAGTTTTGGAAGATTGTATATTTTTAGGAATTTGTCCATTTCTCTCAGGTTGTCCAATTTGTTGGCTTGTTCATAATACGTTCTTACAATCCTTTGTATCTCATTAGCTGTGAAGTCTGGGTAAACCCCTAGACCTCTCTGAGCCTCGGTGTTTTCATCCCAGTGAGGGAGATGAAGAAACCTATTTGGGAAGGTTATTGTAAACATCTGCATTAACCTCTGAAAAGCTCAGCAGCAGGGAAGGTACTGGGGTGGAAGTCCGCAGTCTAGAGAGGAAACTGGCACCCAAGGGTGCTACACCATGCCATCCAATGGCACACGCTGGAGGCTGTGCGGAGTGGGCAGAGGGGAAGCCCTGAGAGGGAGGCGAGGTCGGGAACGTGGATTTTCCAAGATGCTTTCCCACCCACGGGAGGACAGTACTCACCGTTAATGCCAGCATCACTTCTCTGTAGTTCCGGTTCCCGTTCAGCCGCTTCTTCAGGGCTCGAATGGCATCCTTTGGCCTGGAGAAAAGGACATATTAAGATCCTTAAAAATTACACTTTGGGACACTGTCCTACAGATTCACTGCCATTTCTGTGAACTAGCATATCTACGAAGTTATTTGCTGTAGCATGTTTGTAATTGTAAAAGATTGGAAACAAATTAACACCCATCACCATGAAACAGGGTAAATTAAAGCTTATTTATCCATGCAATGGAATACTATGCAGCCGCGCCAAAGAACACACTCCTGTGCATCACCATGGAGCAGACAATGTGAACAGTTGTCTGCGGAGCAGTGCAGAGGGCTGCTCCTGTCTGAGTTACCCACGGACAACAGACAGACACAGTGCACACGCCGGCCAGGGAAGAACAGCTCTGGGAAGAGCCACAAGAAGCTGGTAACTCCAGCTGCCCCTGAAGAGGGAACTGGGTGACAGAGAGGACAGGGAGATTTTTCACTTGATTGTGTATTTGCAGCCCTTTTGACTTTTGTATAACATGCAAGTATTTGTCCAAAATAAAAACCAGCCCACTGTGCGTGGGTGCACTGAGCAGACCACAGAGAGAGCATGGCCAGGTCCTTGCGTAGGCCTGGGGCTCAGCTCCTCCCCAGTTCCATGGAACTCCTTTTTCCCTGAGAAAACTTTAGTCTCCTCAAAACCCAAGGAATTGTGTGCTTTTAGGTAAGGGACCTGCTGTGGATTCCCAGAGAGAATCTCACAGAATTATAGGCAGTCCCCTGTTTACAAGTGGGCCTGTTCAAAAGCTCACTTATCAGTTGATTATTTGGAACTTGAAACGCATTCTTCCTTAAGTCACTGTTGGAACTGGGAGTTGGAGTCCCCAGCAGCCCCCTAACAAGTAAGTCCTCATGTCTGGCATGTTATTTAATTTACTCTAAGTCAGGATTAAACAAAGGTGTGGACCTAGGAGGCACTTCCTGCATGGAGCCCCTGCCAGCTGGCCGGGGGAAGCCCCATCACCTGAGCTCTGGGAGCCCCAGTCCAGCTGCAGGCCTGCCTTTTGCTCCCACAACTGGCACCAGCCTTCTACAGATTCATGTGTCAATATATCTGATCTTTCCAAAGTTGAAGGTTGGTAAGTCAGAAACCTTCTGTTCCTCCTGAAATATTTATGATCCACTTACCAAATGAAAAAGTCCTTTCAAATGTGTATGAGGAAGAGGGCGGGGGAGTGGGAGCTCGGCTAATCAGCCCAATTTAAATAGAAACACAGCAAGGCAAGGCCTCAAGAAATGTAAAGCCCTGGCCGGTGTGGCTCAGAGGTTAGAGTGTCAGCCCGTTGACCAAAGGGTCACGGGTTCAATTCCAGGTCAAGGGCACGTACCTGGGTTGCAGGTTTGATCCCTCTGCCCCTGTCAGGGTGCGTGTGCGGAAGGCAACCAATCGATGTATCTCTCTCATACAGATGTTTCTCTCCCTCTCCCTCCCTCCTTCCCTTCTAATCTCTCTAAAAGAAAATCAATGGGGAAAGAATGAAGAAGTTTAAAAATACCTGAGACCTATTTTCCCCTCCCAACTTGAAAAATGGCTGCCTGCAGGAAGCCTTGGCTCTGAGTCCAGGGGCTGATGGGACAAGGCTCTCTGGAGCATGTCCTTGCAAGTGTTTGCAGTACGGCTGTTTCCACACAGGAATGCTGATTCCTGCAAATGTGGGACTTGACAAGCTCTCAGCTTCGAGGGCTGTGTGTGGACTTGAGCTGGTGAGGGTCCACAGCTGCTGGTCAGAAGCCTGGAGTGGCTTCCTCTCTCCAGGGCTCTGCCCAGCCGGTGAGCCCTGGCCCATGGCTGCCATTCCCCCTGGTCCAGTCTCACTCCTCTCCACTGAGCTTCACGGAGCGAAGGGGAACAAGCTCCAGGGCTGCGCTCCCTGAGCTCAACAGCAGAGCACCGCGCTCCCTGGGGGAATGCGCTGGGGGAAGCAGCCAGCAGGCTCCCTCCCTGGAGCTACAGTGAAAACTCAGCCTCAGAAGGACGGCCTGGGAGTGACTGGGTGAGCACAAAGCAAGCACTTCCCTCCCTCCCTGGGGAAGGCTTCAGAGGCGAGGAGCAAAGCCTGTCAGAGGTATTGCCAAGTTTTAAGCAGCGGCAGCAGCAGGTTGGACAGCAAGGAGCTAGGAACAGGGAGACGGGAGAGGGAAGAATCGAGAGCCAAGGAGCAGAAAGAATCAGGAGGCAGCGGCAGGTGTGAGATGTCCCAACACCCTGGCAGCTTTGGCAGGAAAAGCCAGGCCTCAGGGCTGCCCCAGGGTTTCAGGTCAGGCTACAGCCCCGAAATGAAGTAAGAGACCTTCCCATCGTGTCCCTGTCGACTCCAGAACGGCACTTCTGAAGTTATTCCAAGATGGAGGACACGGCTGCCCCCATGTCTCACCTCGAACACCTCCCGGCCCTCCTTCCCCAACTCCACTCTGCTACGGGCTTGCTCCTCTGCACCCCTCCTGCTAAGAGGCTGGGAAACAGACAAAACTTCAGTGGGCTGGGAAGATCCAGAAATTCATGAACATGACCCAGGTCAGTGGGTCCTCATCAGAGCCACACATCAAAAAGAGCCACACAGCACTTACCAAATCCAAGTGCCTATGCCCTTCTTAGGTAGGACTGGGAAAGGCCTGGCAAACGGGCTCTGCAACCTTCCTGGGGAGGATACTCAGCCAGGCATTCCTAGATAATGACCAAGAATTCAGGACACAAGGGGCTGTCACACAAGGCCTCAGGCTGGAGGAGACCTCAACCCTGGAAATTGGGAAAGCCCAGGGAGGGTCCGGTGGGGCAGCCATCGGGATCCCAGCCTCCTAGAGGTAGAAGTGCAGGCAAGGTGCTGGTGGCTGGAGCCGTCTTCCGGGGCTTACGCCCTGCCCTTCATAGCTGTGGTGTAAGACCTTTGGCAAGTGACCAAACCACTCTGGGCCTCAGTTTCCTCAACATTAACACAAACTGCCCCTACCATATAGGGCTGTTGGGGTGGTGCTGCATGAGCTGGTGCAATCCAGGGCACAGCACAGGGGTCCGGCGCATGGCAAGTGCTCAGAGAACGGCTGCGGTAAGGGCAGTGAACCCATGAGACAGGTACTATTGGCATCCCCATTTGTTAATGAGGAAGCAGACACAGAGATTAAGTCACTCACCCAGGGTCACATGACAAGTGAGTGAAGGACCGAGGACTCCGGCCCAGGCCGGTGGCTGCAAGCTCCACGCTCCTCACCCCGCTGCACTCCTTTCCTACACTGCCTACACTGCCCTCCAGCCAGGGGGTCCCCTTCCTTCCCCTGCCATCCACCCTCACCTGGCTGACCGAGGACTCCACTTGGATGTCACCTCCTCTCGGAACCCTTTGCTGCTGCCGCCCGGCTGGCGAGCTGCCCGCTCTAGCATCTCTCCTGAACTCTGAGCGTCTTCCTCAAGCACCGTCGCGCTGATACGCTTCTGTTGTTCACCTAGCTAACACGCTTGTCAGGCCACTGTGTGCGCACTGCGCTGGGTGCTAGCGGTGAAATGGTGGCAAAGCAGTTTCTGGCCCTGGCCGGTTTGGCTCAGTGGATAGAGCGTCGGCCTGCGGACTCAAGGGTCCCGGGTTTGATTCCGGTCAAGGGCATGTGCTTGGTTGTGGGCACATCCCCGGTGGGGAGTGTGTAGGAGGCAGCTGATCGATGTTTCTCTCTCATCGATGTTTCTAACTCTCTATCCCTCTCCCTTCCTCTCTGTAAAAAATCAATAAAATATATTTTTAAAAAAACAAACAGTTTCTGGCCCTGGCTGGTGTGGGCCAGTGGTTAGAAGGCCAGTTCTCTCACCAAAAGGTCTGAGATTCGATTTCCGATCAAGGGTTGCAGGTTCGATCCCCGGCCCCTGGTTGGCAGCATGTGCAGGAGGCAAACAATCGATGTGTCTCTCACATCCATTTCTCTTTCCCCCTCACCTCTCTCTCCCACGCTCTTTCCCCTCTCTGTGTGTCGCTCTCCCTCCCTTCCTCTCTCTCTAAAAGTCAATGAAAAAATATCCTTGGGTGGATTAACAACAACAAAGTGGAGTGTGCAGTGTAGGGGGAAGTGGGGATGAGACAGCCCTGTGACAGGTCCCGCAGGTGTGGAAGTGTAACCTGTGATGAGAGTGCGTACAGAACAGGGCACTGTGAAATCACATAACGGGGATTTGTCCAAATCAGGAGGGAGCGGTGTCAGGGAAATGAGACAAGTGAATGAAAGAACTAGTCAGTGAGAGGGAGAGGCATGAGGAGGGAAGAGAAGGACACTAGGCCTGGAGCCCCGAAGCAGGAAGCGGGCAGGGTACCCACCGTTAGCCAGGCTTGCGGGGAGAGATCTTGGCAGTGACCTCATAGCAGAGGCAAGGCTAGGACACCCCCAGGAAGCACTGGGGGCTCTCTGGAAATAGAGGAACAGGGGTGCAGGACACTTCAGGAAGAAAGCACTTTGAGGACATGCCTACAGACCCTGGAAGGAGGCCTGTCCCTTTGGAAGGAGAAGGCTGCATTCTAATACATTTGCATGCATGCCCCTCCCATTTGTGGCGAATGGCAAACAGGGCTATGGGAAGTGCAAGGGGCTGAAAGATCAGAGGGGCTAAGGGGTGAGGGCCCCAAATGGAGTGGCTGGAGGGCCCGGTCATCCCACAGGGTCTGTGGAGGATTTCACAGGATTCCCTTGTTAGCAAGGGTGTAACTTCCTGAGTTCTGCATTTCCAAGCGCCTCTGCCTACAGCATGAACAGACAAAGGGGAAGAGGCCAAGGCAGAGGGACTACCCATGGGGACAGCCCACTCTAGAGGATGACACGGGAAGACAGCTCTTTACAGCCCGACTGTGCCCACCTCTCTAGCCTCTGTTCCAGAAAATCCCCTCCCCACTTCTTCCCTGCACACCCAGACCTCACCTGTACCCCGCGCCCCACCCCCCATGCTGCCCTTGCCATGCACCCTGAGCTACACAGCACGCTTCTCCTCTTCCTGCCATCCTTGGGCTCAGCCCAAAGCCCGCCCCT